CACCAAGAAACAGTTGATAAAGGACTCATCTTTATTTGTTCTTTATGACTTACATTTATGAACCCATCAAAAATATGTTGAAGGTGATGAAAGCTAATTTATAGAACAAATCCAGCAAGTATACTATCTCCAGTAATTATATACACCCTTCAGTATTGTTTGAAGTTTAGTCCAAAAGGAGCTTTGAGATAGAGAAAGGTTGGTGCTTGAGAAAAGAGGGAAAGTCTTTGTATTCGGAAAGAACGGGCAGTTGGGCGGGCGCAGTTTTGAAACAGAGAAAAAGGGCAGTCGGGCAGAGAGCGGGAGCAGATTGGATCACACATGTACTTAACAGTAAATTGTGTCATATATTCTCCAACGTTTTGTGGACATAGAAAGTTCCAATATGACTACAAAAAAGGAATAATAAGTTAATATTTGAATATATATTATCTTCTAACTAGTATTTAGATCAGATAAAAACATTTGGTGGATCCTTGAATTCATACTTTTATTTATAAATGAGGATAATAACTAACCTTGAGATCATATTCTAATTTAATCTATTTCATGGCAGATCTGTCACGAGTTTTCCTTAGCCTTATTGGTTCAATTCTATTCGTAGTCCTAAAGTGCCCACCGATACAGATCATGTTAGAGGCCACATCGGTATTTATTCTATATATTAGGTAGCGTTTTTTACCTTCTAGAACTTGATTAAATTTAATCAGGAAATAATTTCTCTACATATAATGGAATATAATTATTTTTCTTTTAACATTCAAACAGCTTTTTCTTTTAAAAATAAAATTCCACTCATTAAAAGAAATTTTATTTAATATAGGATTAAAATTATTCCAAAATACATAATTTATTATGATAATTGAAGTATGTAAATAGAAACATTCTTTTTTTTGTGTTTTTTTTAATTCTGCAAATTATTAATATTATTAAATAATAATCTTTTTATATTAATAATTTTAATTTGGAAAATTATTATTAATAAATTTTTTATGGGTTTTTATGTTTATTTAAATTGGAGATGTAAATTTTCTAATTTGGTTATAGCAAATATTTTATATTTAAACACACTTGTCACTCCTCTCTATACTATATAAAGCGCTATTTATTAATCTATAATCTATATTACCTATAATATAACGGTCCATTATAGCGGGCTTTGATTTAATTTGGAATTTCCAAATACTCACGGCTCTAATTATAATTAACTTCTGTGAGTGAGTTACTACTTTAAATTAGAAGGAATTAAATGTTTTAAGCATAATAAAGGGAGGTTGGTGTGGTCGTGTTTTCATATCTTTAAAATCTGTAAATTTAATTTATTAGCATTATCTATTGATAATAATATCCGATGGATTTTTTAATATTCCATTATCTTATTTTTATGAGTCGACTTTATTGGGTTGATTAATTTGTTTATCAAAATTAGTTTCTCTTTTATTAAACTATTTTTTTTTCTAAGAAAAAGCATTTGATGTAAAAGTAAAAACAAAGAAAGGGATAAACAATGGGCACTGTTCATACGTTAAATGATGCATTATATTTTTTTATTTTTCAATTTTTTTCTAGAGTATTTAGAGTATTGGGTTGGGACGATCCAAAGTTTGAACTCAACCGAGTTCAAAATAACAATGAAAAAGTATTGCAAAGTTATGTATCAGAAAACTTAAAAAATACTTTGAAAATTTAAAGGAATGAAATACTTACAATAAAATTTATTAACAACAATTTTAGATTCTAGAGAAACTGGGATTAAAAAAAAATTAAATCTACCCCCATAAATGGTTTTGGTAATCCTATAACAATTGACTATATATATTCAATTTTGGCTTTATATCACAGCTTGTTTCTGGATAGCAGTTTCGATTATGCTATATAGCTCAATAAGAAATGAATTAATACTACGTTACTAAGGAACACTTCTTTGTATTTTATAAAGAATCAGTTGCAAAATGATTTCGACTCAGAAGAACGTCATGAAACTCTCACTCAAGATGGTCCCACATTCGATTTATTATTTTATTAATTAATGTGACTGTAATAGTACTCTCTTCATAGTACTCAGTCGGATCAATTAGCATATGTTGCCACATATTTCAACTCTTGACATGAGCACAACATTATATCCACACACTTAATCAAAACTTAATTTTTATGCTAAATAAATCGCACCATTCACAACTTCATATGCCTTTTAGACTCTTATATACAACTACTATCACATATTATTATATATAGTTTTTATTACATAATCATTGTTATTATTTTCTTAATACCTTTTATTAAAAGTAAAATTTAATAAAATAAAAAATCGTTTTAGATTATCAATGGTTTGTTCAATCATTATGTTAGGCTCAAAGGCAATATATTACTCACTATTGGATGCAATTTTTGTTTTTTCATAATATTTTTTAATATTTGGTTGTTATAGGATATTACTTTATAGTATAAATGATTTCCTTTATTTCTTAATTATGGCTTGAAATATTCATTTATAGCAGCCTCACTTATTAATTGATGAAAATTATTATTATATTGTTAGAGAAAGGAATGTGCTATAGTATTATTGTAGAATTTTGGAGACGTATGAACTTTCCATTCATCATATTTTTGAATCTACATATCACTGGAGTTTTAATTTCCAAACTATTCTTTGTTTCTAAATGTAATGAGATAACTTAAAAAGTCAATTCTTTGTAATTAATTATAGTTGCATAGTTACATAAAAAGTCATTTTTAAATGTCAATGGAATACAAAATGAACTGTTGCCTCAAGGAGATCGTCCTTCACTTAAGCAATTTTCACTATACTGATGTGCATATTTATTATTAAAATCCCGTACATACCATGTAAGAACTCTAGGCATACATCCACTTCCTATTATATTAAAAAATCTATACTAACACTCTCTATTTATCAACTACTTATTTTATTTTCGTTAAAGTTAACACGAATACCTAGGTTGACATTTAATTTATATTCCTCTCTTGTAAAAGGTCTTTATAATATTTTCAAGAACTTTTTCAATAGTGGGTTAAAAATAAGTATTAGTATTCCTTAATTAAACATTTTTTTTTTTTTTTTTTTTTTGGTGTATAGGAAGAAAATGATTGTCCAATTTATTATGTTATCTAGACAATAATTTTAATTGCAATATTTTAAAATTGAGAGAGGATTTATTATTAGTGAGAATTCCATCATAAGTCTCACTTTGTAGGAAACAAGACATCTTTGAAATATTGCATTCATAAATTTAAGTCAACAAATGAATGTTGCCACTTGGCATCTTTTATCTAATCCTCTCATAAGAAGAACTAGCCATCCTCCATATATCAATAGACCTATTCAATATTTTTATTTTCTTAGTATAACACACCGACAATAATTATTTTAAATCTTCATTAAGATTTCAAAGTTTAATATAAGTATTAATAACACAATTTTTTTTTATATATTATTTGAAATAATCTCATATGAAATTTACTTCATTTGCAACTGAATTTTTGTTAAAAAAAAATTTAATATTGAAGTTCTTTTTAATATTTTTTTTAATCACAAAAAGGTCAATGGATCAGCCTTTAAATAACAAGTTAAGAGAATTCAATCTCGTGACCTTCCACACTAGAGGTGAGCGGTGTTCGGTTTGGACCGAATAATCGAATCGAACCGATTCATTTCAGTTTGATTTGGTCAAAGTTTTTAAAATTCAATTATCGATTAGTTCAAATAATAAAATCAAATGGATTTTTTATTTTTGATTCGGTTACTTGCATAGTGAACCGAATTGATTTTTACGCCCAAAGGAGAATATTCAGTTCGAAATAACCTAACTAAATCCAAACCGATATGGTTTGGTTCGATTTTAAATCAATTTTTTACGGTCTTCGATGTAATTTTGGTTGACATGAATCTATTCAGTCAGACCGAATCAAACCAATTCAATTCTGTTATACTGAATACTCACCCTATTTCACTTCTCACGTCTTTTAAAAGACGTGAGAATACCATGGTAATTACTACAAGAGTTCTTTTAAATTGTAACATTACTCGTTTATAGAATTCATTAATTCTAATAATTTGTATTTCTTTTAAATTTAAATTTTATTTGAATATATTTGTATCCTAAAAATATGGTAATTACAATAAATTAGGAGGTTTTTTGTATGTTATGAATGAGGCTTTATTGTCAAAGAAACATATAAAATCGTTAGATAAACATCCTTGTCAAAGACTTAGGATTTACAAGACTTAATTAGGATGTCATTTCCACTTTTTTATTTTTATAAATTTCCTATTTCTTATGTTCATAGTCATTGTAATTGTCTGTGTTTGATCAGCCGCAATTAGCTCTGAAAGATGGGCGAAAAGGAAGAAGTAGAAAAAGAAGCTTTTATTGTTGCTTTTGCTTTATGTCAAGGTTTGTAAAATGTGGTTGAATTTTGTATCAAAAGGTAAAATTTCTTTTCTTTTTCTTTAGACTCATTTTATCATTTATTTTTAGTGAAATAAACTGATTTTTCACCAAGAGACCTAAAAAAAAATAAGAGTATATATATATATATATATATCAAGTTGACACACAATCAAAGGTTTAACATTCGTACACTAAATCATAACCTAACCTAGTTGTAAATGCCACATTCGTACACTAAATCATAACCTAACCTAGTCGTAAATGCATATACAACCTGAATAACGTGGAATCATTTAATCTATTGACAATTTATCTTATTTAAAGGTGTCTCCTCCCTTTCCACTTTTCTTCAATCTTCATTTTATTGACAATCAAGCGTGTTGAATAAGTTATGCATCACTTTAACACAAATTATGAAATAATTTTCAAAAATTTTAATCATTCAAATAATCTTATTTAAAGGTGTCTCCTCCCTTTCCACTTTTCTTCAATCTTCATTTTATTGACAATCAAGCGTGTTGAATAAGTTATGCATCACTTTAACACAAATTATGAAATAATTTTCAAAAATTTTAATCATTCAAATAAAATATTTAATAAATACAATTTCATAGATTGAAATGTTCAATAAGCATAATTATACATATTAAAAAAAAAAACAAGTATAATTATACAAATTAAAGGATATAATGGACCGATGTAAAAGTTAAGGGTGTCTGTCATCTGTCAACAACTAAATTAGGTTTAAAAAAGGCTTACTAAATGATGCACTTCAAGTTTCGAGCCATGTTAAGGTTCCCATGATCAAATACTTGCTTGGGAGTTCACCAGCTGTTGGTGTAAGATATGTAATTTTCCTCCTGTAAAAGTTTTTGTTTTTCAGAATGAAATCAAATCAAAAATTGATAAACCAGAAAACCTAACCTCTGAAGTATAAAAAGCCAGAAGACCTAACCTCTGAAGGTCAATATCTGTGACGTATATAAACCCAGCAACATTACTGCACCAAACATTGACATAAAGCCTCATATTAGTCAAAGATAAGAAATTTAAATGAATATTTCACAATCAGTGGGGCATGCACATGCCTCCCAGTATTTGTTACATCAGGAAACTAACAAACATGAAAACACATTAATTGTAATGCAATAAATATACGAAAGACCTTTCCATGATGCAATTCAAAAATCTAGGTCCAATATTAGCGGTTTATGGTCCTATTTGGCAAAATTAGCAGTTATTCTAATAGTCAGTTGTTTTACTAGAATTTCCATTAAACTTTAAAGGGAATAACGTTTCATAAAAACATAAAAAAACTACGTTAAAGCCTATTACTGAACACGACCTATATATGATTTGTTCATCAGATAAAAAATTGATTCAGCCAACACTAGGGTTATTCACGGACTTTGGTACTCCCAAATTGAATTAAAAAATTGAAAACAGAAAATAATTGAACACTATAAGTATCTATATAAATTGAATATATGTATTTTACTGTCATGGTACCATTATAGGAATTTAGCAATACCGAGACTGAGAAGTGTACCATTGTACTGAATTGAAAAACCGATTATAGACATATGTATGTTCTTTAAAAATAATTGGTAACCTAAATCATAAAAATAAATTTTAGGGTAGTTTGTATAAATTAAAAATATTAGTACAACATAATACCTGAAGAAAACTAAAAGTTCAGTTTTTATATATGATAATATTATCATTTAACAAACTTCATAACTTAAATCAGCTATATGCATTAATTAGACCTAAAATAATGCATGTACAATTATGAAAATTGCCATTTGACGTGTAGATAATTACCTTGAAACAATTTGATCAGGTTCTTTGGCATAGGAAACAGCAAGAACAACATGAAGTAAATCCCGATCAATATTCACAGCAGTAACTCTAAGAGGGTTTGCAACAGGGTCTGCACCTATAGGCAGAGCTGATCTTGGGGCTTGTGGCCCACCACCAATTCGATATACAAACAAGTCATTAAAATTCGCAATATTTGAATGAGGAGAGAGCTCATTAGCAATGCCATAAAAGTATTCCTGAGAAAAAGAGCACCACGTTATCTCGTCAATTTCACCAATTAAAACCCTCACTAAATTAAGTTGGAAATTTTTATGTATATAGCAAATTTAAACACTCAAAAAGAAGAATCAGGTCAAAGAGCATGGGGATGAAACATAGTCGACTCTCTGAAATCCAAGCATATAAAAAAAGTTGAATTTACCCTGATCCTGTAACTCCTGGCCTTTTGGCGGACTTTTGAAGTCCTGGACACAACACCGCCTGACTTCTGAAGTTTCACAACATCCACATTGGGCTTGTTCTTTAATACATCTCTGAGCATGCTGAAAAGCTTTTCCTGCACAAAGTTCAAAAGAATGCTTATTCAATAAATGGAGGATCAGAACCAACACTTCAATTTAGAGAGAGAAAGTTCACAGGTAAAAATTTCAAACAATTTGTGTTACATGGCCCAAATACCAAAAAAGAGAAAACATATTGGATAATGATAAGTTAGCTGACAAATGGAAAACAAGGATGGTTTTTTATGTGCAAAAAAACATACAAACAGCTTTCCTATATTATCTGTTGTTAAAGATACTTGACCTAAGATTTTCATATTCTCACTGAATTATGCAAAATACTGTTAGTTAGATACCTGCTACCTGTTTTAAAAGTAGTGCCAAAGTACAGTGCAATCTTTATTGTCCGAGAAATGAAGTCTCATTTTAGAAAGTGGAGCTTCCAATCAACATCTAGCACAATTTCCAGAAGTTCATAAAACTAAATTTAAAAAACAAAACCATCTCTGTTCAGAAAAGAAAATCATAATGTTCCAATGACAAAGGGTTGAAATTTCATCAAGCATTAATCAAAGATAAAAAATATCATAATTGTAAAGCAATCAAAAACTGGTGCAAAGCTAAGAAGATACCAAAGAAAAGGAAATGTGAAAAGGAAATTTTCCAGATCCATTATTTTCCACATATTAACTTTCATCTAAGACTGCTTTTGTTGGACCTACGATGAAACCAAGCATGACAATGTCCATTGCATCATAATTTCAAGTCCAACAGATCCATTACATTGAATCATCAGTTGCATGTTGAATAAAAACTTAAGAGAATATAAAGATGACGAGGATGAGGACACAAGAGTGCTTGCATGCTGCAATTAATGATTCTGAAGTAGATAATTAAATAAAAAATGAATTAAAAAGAAAGATAAAGAAGAAATGTCTGATGTGTTAATTGTTTACCTGACCTAAAACCAAAACAACATTTGCATTAAATGTATCAATTGCCTGGAGAATCAGCTGAAATGAAAGACAGGAAGACAGTTAAACAACAGGTTTCAAGTAATTATATCAAAACAATCATGCCTGAACTAAAGTATTAACACTAAATTATCAAGACACATCATATGAGAATAAAACTCCATTACCTCATAGCCCACACCTTCTATCCATCCCATAGTGTTGATCACCATTCCTGCAGCACGAGATTCAGCATTTCCAGTGAACTGTCTCTCCAGTATTTGAGCAAGCTCCTTTACAAGTGCTTTATACAAATCTACATTTTGACTGTAAAAGAAAAAATAAAAGAAAATTCTTTTTTAAACCTCACAAAGTTGACAACTTAGACATTTTATTCTGCCCAAAGTGCACTTGACCCATTGATTGCACTAGGTTTCCAGCCGATGGACCAAATAGGTTATGAAAATTCATGAAAAATGATTGAAATGCAAAATTAGTTACCTGGGTGTTGTGTGCCCATAGAAGTAGACCAGTGGCATATCAAGAGAAATGCCTTCCACTGGATCAATAGGCAGCTCAATAGGGGTAGCAGCAATACATCCTGGAATCGTTATAGACCCTTGGCCAATGTCCAAGTCCACAAAAGTAGGTTTCCAACCTTGTTTAGCTGCCCAACTGAGAAGCATTCTTGACAAGGTGCTCTTTCCAGAATCTGTAGGTCCCACAACAATCACCCTGGGACCCTGGACCATATATTGGTATGTAAGTCAAACTCTTCTTGGGCTAACAAATGGAATTATATACATACATTCAAGCTTCCAAGAAATTGCAAATAAAAAGAATTGCAATAACCATAGGGCTGTGATAACCGCCAGTGTTATTTGAAGCATGAACTACATTCGAAATCGCTCAAACTAGAATAATTAAATGCATTTGCAACGTATTCAATGAAGCAACCCATCCATGAATGTCTCCCAAAGTTCAGGTCTATAAGCAGTGATAGCTGCCATTTGACTACTCACATCTGCTTCGGGTGGGTTCCTCATCCAAGCGACTGACTATGAGTCACTGGCTCATATACTGCAATATAAACTATTTATGAAAGGTCCTTGTCATGTGGAAACTGCTATGTCCATTTGATAAAGCATATCTGATGCTATTGCTGTCTATGATTAGACCAATTTTTCAAACAATTCCCGTGAGGACATTCTCTGGCACTGTTACAGGACATATCACTATTTAAACAGCAAAAGAACTTAGAAGGACCAAAGACAATGACCAAATACATACAAAATCTACCTTAACATATGGAGTTTCATCCACATAAAAGTAGTGGAAATGCTTGCAATGAGTAAAAAAAGGTCAAAATTTTTAAGCTGATGTACACATAAACATTACTGAAGTTTGTGCAATTGTCATACCTACAGCCATATATAAAGGAACTGTAACTCGTGTACTCAGAGAAGCAGTTACTGATTTAGTATTCATACAACACACAACAAATGTATGTATCACGTGCCATCTGATCCGTGCAATGTTGGATACAGATTTATTACAAATATTTATATATTCTCAGCGAGATCCACCATTACACAAGATAACCAGACCATCTAAAAATTTTCAACAGCTTATCAATATCCTTTCAGTACCAAAACATTCTAACTTCTCACTTTATTTTGGTAATTAAAATTTCAAGTCAAGCACAACCCTTTTAAGAACTGAGTTAGAAAATTCAAATCTATATTCAGAATCAAATGAACTAAGACAAGTTGATAAACAAGTATGTCAAGAGTACGAGAATGGGATCTTGTCAAAGGGCGATTTACAGGAAAGTCTAATTCCATTAACTTCCCCTAGTCCTGATTCTTCTTGCAACCTATTGTGATAATTAACTCAAGCTCTTCAAAGGGAACTTGAAAACCTTGGACCTCGTTAGAGAGAGAGCTCCAGATCTCTGTGTTTGAGTGAAATTCTGACTTGCTTTTTATTATTCTAACTGTCCTTTAAACAGGACTAGACTTACTACATGAATAGGAAACCTATAAATTAGGCTCCTTAAAATAGAGATAAATGCAACTCCTATTCTAAAGGAGAGTAAACAACTTGAATTAAATTACTAATCCTAAAGCGACAGCCAAGCCCTAAACAACAGCCAAAATTAATTGCCCTTCCTAACATAGGATCGGCCCACAAAGGCATCCACAACAAAGTAAGACATACATATAAATTAACAATTAAAAACTACCTGAGAAGACTCGAGACCATTAGAAGATGAAGCTTTGGCACGATTTCTTCTTCCTTCTAGAACAGCATGAACATTTACATAACTAACCATTGGAGTCTGGAAACCACATTATTGCAACTAAAAATTGTTATCAACGAAATCCATCAACTAATAAAAGTTAAATCAATAAACAAGCAACCGCACCTCATCTGCAGTATAATCAGTTTCAGTAGGACCGTCCATCTCTATTGTAGCTCCATACCAAGTAAACACCTGCAAACCAAAGTATTATGACAAGAAACATAAACTATTACCTAAAAGTTACAATTTCTTGAACAATTTTTCCTCTAAGTAGCAATTAGGAATTGAGATTTACAGCGAATTTTAAGCGAGGAGGGAAGGTGAGCCACATTTCGGGAGGTAACTCGGTGCCATATATCTCAGCAGTGCCATTTAGTAACCTAAGGCGAAGCGGTGTGTCGTTTGCCACTTCAATTCTAAGCTCGCTTTCTCTCTCCAATTTCACTTGCTTAATAGTTGGAGCTGCTGCTCCAGTCATTGTAGTGGCTGCGCCGCCATAAGCCATGGCCTTGCTCCAGTTTCTTTACCTTTACGTTCTCCTCTCCTCTTTCTTTACCTTCGACCTCCTTTTTCTTTGGCTTAAGATCGAGAGACGAAAAGAATAAAGGAGAAGGGCAATTTTATTTCCGGCTAGAACTTGCTGTTTTCGGCGATCTCCTTTCTCTTGGTGAGCACTAACCTCTAAGCTCTCCACACTTATTACCTTTGAATAATTTGTGAACCTGTTAAGGAAATTGTGGCATCACTAAACCTAGCTTTTGAAAATGGGTTTTGATGAAAAATTGAAATTACATGTAGAAATTGATTGTGGAACTGGTAATTTCACAGGATTTACTGCGTTTTGATATAAATTATGTGATGTTCTTGGCTTATTTCGCCTCTGGCCATCGTGATTGGTGGATACAGCAGCGGTTATTAAAGGATATTAGATTTTCCATATCCTAAATAAACTCTAGCTAAATAAACTTTAGCTATCAGATAATATAGGATTTTGACGGTCTTTATCCTCGTATCATTGTCCATATTTTAATATATATATTCCAAATTAATTCTAAAAAAGGGTATAATTCTCAATTTTCTTAATCCTCAATTTTTGATAAGTTAACACTACTTAAAAATAAATAATAAAAATCTAATAAGATAACTAATTGTATGGTAACAATTATTATATTAATTATTTCACAAATATTAAATATTTTGAGTTGTTGCATTAGAACATTCTAGGATCAAAATAAATCACTTCTAACCCAAACCAAGTCAAAAAGCCATGAAGCCAAATAAACCCAAAATAAATCTTTTAAATCGAACCGAGTAATACAAAAGACTCTAAAAGGCTAGTTGAATCAAACCAAAGGATAGGAGGTCTCCTCCATCTCTTATTTCAATTTCCTCTCTTATTTTTCTAGATGAGATCAGAACAATTAAATTTGATAAGAGTTAGAGTAATGGTGATGATGATAAAGGAGAGAGAGAGAGAGAGAGTTGGATGCTTTCGTTCAAAATGAAAATGTAAATGAAAGATAAGGGTATTTTTGCTTTTCATTTGGCACTAACTGCACAAAATGAACTTTTTAGACAGAAGGACCTATTAGTTTAAAGATAAGGACTATAAAAAAGCATTTATAAAATGACAATGATAAAGTTGTTGTATTTCAATATAAAAAAGCATTTGCTTCTACAACATAAGAAAGGAGACTTGAAGCCCATGTGGGATGAGAGCTTGCGGGCGACTGGACGGAGAACTCAACAACTGACGAGCTCTTGGTTAAGATCAGAACCTGTGGGGGATACTGTTTTGGGCAGTCTACATTCAGGGGGTTTGGTTGGCACGGGAACAGCAATGTTGCCATCCCAAATCTTTCGCCAGTCCTTCCTCAGAGTGGATAGGGGCTGTGTTGCTATGGATTCTTCAGCAGGTGTCATGGAGACGGATGGGCAGAGCACTGGTCAGGATTCTATTGGGCATGATGAGGAGAATCCCATGACTAGACCAGATGACTTGAAAAAACGTCTTTGCACCACTAATAATGATCTGACTGCCACTTCTACTTCTGCAACCAAGGATTTAGGAGTGGGTACACTTAAACACAAAATGGTCGAACCTTCCAAGCTGAAGGTCGACCAATGCCAATGAAGCTTCTAGTGTGGAATTGCCGAGGAGCGGGTAATCCTCGGGCAGTTACTGTGTTGAAGGACTTGGTTACCCGGTATAGGCCAGCAGTGGTTTTTCTATCTGAAACAAAAGTTCATGGTGTTCGAATGGAAGGTGTACGCTCCTTTTTACGGTTTGATTTCTGTTTTTCAGTTGATAGTATTGGAATTGGGGGTGGACTTTCTATTTTATGGCATAAATTTGTCCAGTTATCAATTAAGCACTATTCTAGTAATTTCATTGACTGCGAAATACAGGGTCCGAATGGTATGTGGAGATTCAAAGGATTTTATGGGTTCCCTGAAAGTACAAGACGACGGGACTTGTGGAATTTATTACGCTCTCTTGCAGTTCGTAGTAGTTTACCTTGGCTATGTGCATGAGACTATAATGATGTTGCAGCAGATTATGAGAAAGATGGGGGGGCCACCCCGTGCATCTAGTTTGATCAATGGGTTTCGGGAGGCTTTGATGGATGCTAACTTGTCTGATATCCTTACAACTGGATCTTTTTTTACTTATGTATACAGGGAAAACACTCCGAATCGTGTGAGGGAGAAGTTAGATAGAGCTTGTGCTACGCCATCATGGGTGGATATGTTCCAGAATGCGATTTGTACTACTTTGGTGGCTCCGGTCTCTGATCATTCTCCACTTTTGGTTGATACGATTAGCTCGTTGGGCTACATAAATCGTAAATTTAGATTTGATAATGCTTGGTTGTTAGATGATGGTCTTTATGGTGTGGTCTCATACTCTTGGCAAAGCTCGACTGGAGAGGATTTTGTGCTGCGGAGGGATAGATTAATTGCAGACATTCGGCTCTGGGGAAAAGAGAGAAACCGAACCAGGTGGGGGCAGAAGCGTTTTATGCAGCAGAAACTTGAACGTGAGATTGACACACTAGACACGCTAACTATTAAACAACTAAAGGAAGAGTGGAATAGATTGTTGGCAGAAGATGAAGTTCGTTTGAGGCAGCAAGCTAAAGTGTTTTGGTTGAGAAATGGGGACAAGAATTCAAAATATTTTCACAACAGTATCAAGGCTAGACGGTGCTGTAATCGTATTGAACGGCTACAGGATGTTTCGGGTGCATGGGTGTAGCTAAAGTGTTTTGGTTGAGAAATGGGGACAAGAATTCAAAATATTTTCACAACAGTATCAAGGCTAGACGGTGCTGTAATCGTATTGAACGGCTACAGGATGTTTCGGGTGCATGGGTGTACAATGAAGATGGTATTCAAGCTCAGGTGAAGGATTACTTTACTGCTCTTTTCCGCGAAGCAGCCGCTCCAAATCGAAGCCAAATTATTAGATTGGTTCAGCCTTTGGTCGACCATAATGATAATGCAGAGCTTACCAAACCTTTTTTGGATGAGGAGTTTCGAACTGCTCTTTTTCAAATGAACCCAGATAAAGCGCTTGGACCAGATGGACTGAACCCGGCTTTCTTTCAGAAGAATTGGAGTTTATTGGGCGGGGATATCTCGAATAGCTGTCGATTATGGCTAGCCCAAGGTACTTTTCCTAGATCTTTAACTGATACTTTAATTGTTTTAATCCCGAAGTGTGAAAATCCAGTGTCAGTTAAAGATTTTCGGCCCATAGCTCTTTGCAATGTTTTATATAAAATTGTGTCGAAAGCATTAGCTAATAGATTGAAAAATATACTGCATAAATTGATTTCTAAAAATCAGTCTGCTTTTATTTCGGGTCGTTTGATTACGGATAATTTTATGGTGGCTTATGAGCTTATCCACAATTTATGAGGCTTATCCACAATTTAACGGAGTAGAGCTAGGGGTCCAGAATGGTGCTTGTGCCTTGTGCCCTTAAAATTGATATTGCCAAAGCTTATGACCGGGTTAATTGGGACTATTTGTCTGATATGATCACTGCTTTGGGGTTTGATGCTATATGGTTGAAATGGATGCAAATGTGTTTCATGGATATTGAGTACAAAGTGTGTGTGAATGATAAGCAAGTGGGCCCCATCATTCCTTCTAAGGGGTTGCGGCAAGGGGATCCAATCTCTCCATATCTATTTTTGTTTGTAGCCGAGGGCTTATCATTGTTGCTTAAAGATGCGGAACGTCGTGGTTTAATTCATAGGGTTCGGGCAGGACATAGGTGTCCCAGGATATCACATTTATTCTTTGCCGACGACTATTTGCTCTTTTTTGGGGGTACTGTTCAGGAGGCTATGGAAATCAAGGCTATTCTGGGTACTTATGAAGCTGCTTCAGGTCAGTTTGTTAATCTTAATAAGTCTGGCATTCTCTTTAGTCCTGTTATTTATGGACATGTTAGTTGTGCTATTTCTGGGCATTTAAATGTTTCTTTACCTCTTGGGAATAGTAATTATTTGGGGTTGCCATCGTTGATCGGGAGGAATAAAAAATAGATTTTTTCTTTTCTTAAGGATAGGGTGTGGAAGAAAATGAATAATTGGAATAGCTGCTGTCTTTCTAGAGTTGGACGCGAAGTTCTAATCAAATCTGTAGCGCAAGCAATACCAGCTTATTGCATGAATGTATTTTTGCTTCCAGTATCTGTAACCAATGAGATGCAGGTGATGTTTAATAAATATTGGTGGAATGGTAAGGGGGACCATAGGGGTATTAATTGGATTGCTTGGGATCGCATGTGATTGGTGGAATGGTAAGGGGGACCATAGGGGTATTAATTGGATTGCTTGGGATCGCATGTGTAGTAATAAGTCTATCGGTGGGATGGGGTTTAGGGACGTACGATGTTTCAACACTGCTTTGCTAGGGAAACAGGAGTGGAGGTTATTAACTGACACCAACACTCTCGCGTATAGTGTTTTCAAAGCTAAATATTTCCCTAGGGGGGATTTTCTATCTGCTTCTCCTAGATCGGGTTGTAGCTATGTCTGGAAGAGTGTTTTGTTCTCTAAACAGGTGTTGCAGCAGGGCGTGAGATGGAGGGTAGGAGATGGGAGGAGTATATATGTGAATAGAGATCCGTGGATTCCTCGTGAGACCAACGCCTATGTGGAGGATGGTGCTCCTTTTATTCCTGATGCTTTAAGGGTGTGTGATCTTTTTGCTGCAGGTGCGAGGAAATGGGATATCTCGAAGATCATTCATCTTTTTACTGTAAATGATATGAGGAAAATTTTGAGTATCCCATTAAGCCTTTATACCCATCATGATAAATTAATATGGCATTTTGACCGGAAAGGCCTTTACACTGTCAAAACTGCTTATCATGTAGCTTACCGTTTGCTTCGATATGGTGGTGGCGGTGCCGATGTGCTATGGAAGCAGATATGGAAGCTTAATGTTGGTGGATTTAGGCGGGTGCCGATGTGCTATGGGAAAGCCAGATATGGAGGTTAATGTTCCCCACACCAAAGTCCACACGATTTTACGTGGCGTCATTGGGCTCGTAATGGTTGCGTCCCACTCGGAGAAAGATTATCAACGAGGGGTGTTACTACTTCACTTCAATGTTATTGCCAGAATCTAAAAGGTTATGAGTGCAGGTGCGAGGAAATGGGATATCTCGAAGATCATTCATCTTTTTACTGTAAATGATATGAGGAAAATTTTGAGTATCCCATTAAGCCTTTATACCCATCATGATAAATTAATATGGCATTTTGACCGGAAAGGCCTTTACACTGTCAAAACTGCTTATCATGTAGCTTACCGTTTGCTTCGATATGGTGGTGGCGGTGCCGATGTGCTATGGAAGCAGATATGGAAGCTTAATGTTCCCCCCAAAGTCCGCGATTTTACGTGGCGTATGGGCCGTAATGTGCTCCCCACTCGAGAAATTTATCAAAGAGGGGTGTTACTACTTCACTTCAATGTTTATTTTGCCAGGAATCTGAGAATGGGGATCATGTACTGGTCAAGTGCTCCATTGCGAAAGAGGTGTGGCGGCAGGCTGGTTTTATTTTTGCTAATATCAATTTGTCTTTTCAGGAACTGTTCATTCATATCATCTCTTCAAAGGGACAACAACATGCCGAGCTGATGGCTACAGTTGCATGGAGTTTATGGGCTGCTAGGAATGCTATGTTGTGGTCCAATGTCTGGCCGAACCCTTGGCAAATTTCTCATACTGCTCGCCTGCTTCTAGATGATTATTGGGCTGCATCAGCTTCATCACAAGCAGCAACGGCAATAACACACGCTGCATATGCTCCTGCCCAACCAGCCCATATTGCACATCCAGCTACTTGGCTTGCCTATGTTGATGGTGCAGTTTTTCGGGCAATAGATTTTGTGGGTTTTGGCTTGGCTATTGAGGACGCTGAAGGTCATCTTTCGTTAGCTATTTCGGGCTTTCAGGAAGGTGGTGATGATCCGTTGATTGCGGAAGCTCTTGCATTGAGACAATGTTTGCATTACGTCTCTATCTCTTTACTTGATCCTGGTTGCATTTTTACTGATTGTCATATTTGTCTTTGAACTCAATGAGTGAGGATAATTCTGATTTTGGGTTGATTGTATCGGATTGTAAGACATTAATTCTTGCTAGGCCAGATATTACAGTTTTTTGGATTAGACGCACAGAGAATGAGTGTGCCCATCTGTTGGCGCGTAACTCTATTCGTCATAGTAGGTTTCAACAATGGGTTAATATCTCGGATGTATTGATTGAGTTCTATTCTCAACTATAATATATGAGTTCTCTTTTTTTCAAAAAAAAAAAAATTAAGTTCACTGTATAAACAAAAATATGTTAAAATTTAGAGTTGCAGGCAATCAATTCCTATACCTCTCACATGCTAAGTAAGCGCTCTACAATTTGAGCTACATCCTCATTAGACCAAATTCACTTGATCAACCAACTCCTAGCAATTTCTAAGAAATATCTTCTACCCTAAAATAACTTGTAAGGAACTAAATTCACCAAAAAAAAAAATTCTTAAAAGCTAGTGAAGGGAAGATGTTTAGAAAACTATCGATGTAATTTCTTGGAATTGACACTAACCATAGTTACAAAGAACTAATTTCTGCGCCTTTTGTATATTCTTTGTATAGTGTGATCCACCACTGTAATTGCGAAGAATTTGTAACTTCTACAAAATCTCTCCAAACCTTGATAGAAAAAACAAAATAATTTCTTTTCCTAGTTCAAGTTTTATTTTCCTTGTAGTTAATGCCATAACCACAATCTACAATATATATATCAACTACATACTAATGATTGCGTTTCTACTTATTCCTGACTAATTGCCTCGTGAAAAATCACTAAATAATATGTGTTGTTACTTGTTACAATATATATATATATCAACTACATACCAATGATTGCCTTTCTACTTATTCCTGACTAATTGCCTCATGAAAAATCACTAAGTAATATGTGTTGTTACTTGTTAGAGTGCATTTTTTCCTTTAATTAATTATTAAGTTGTTAAAATAAGTTCATTGTATAAATAAAAATATCATAAAGTTTAGAGATGCAGGGTATCGATCCCTGTACCTCTCAAGTGCTAAGCAAGCGCTCTACCATCTGAGCTACATCCCCATTGAACCAAATTCATTTGACTGATCAACTCCTAGAAATTTCTAAGAAATATCTTCTACCCTAAAATAACTTTTGAGGAAAGTCCTAAGTAAATTCATCAAAAGAAAGAAGAAATTTCTTAAAGAGTAGTGAAGGGAAGATGTTTAGAAAGTTCTCCATGTAATTTCTTCGAATTGGCACTAACCAAACTATATATAAAGAACTAATTTCTTTATGAATACAGAATTTGTTAATTCTACACTGTAGTAAAAGCCAATGGGTTATAAGATATAATCCGATCCATAAATTAAGAGTAAAAAAGGGAAAAAAACAATTAAACTTTTAAAATAAGAAAGAAGGGATTGATTTTGGAGAGAAAAGGAGGGAGAGATCAATAACATCTTTTTTGTCGGAAGAGAGGTTTCCAAGTATTCGACTTTGCATAATCACGACGTTCTTATATGAGGAGAGAGAGAGGTTGGTGTTTTTGCTAGAATGGACCTCATTTTGGAAGTAATGGAAAATGCTATTTTAAATTATTTTTTATGTTTAATTAAAATGAATTAGTCTTATTAGTATATTCGATTAAGCAAGTGATGTGAATAATTAAGGAGTGTAAAATACAAATGATTTCTAGAATTTGGCTGAAAGACCATAGGAAAGAATGGATTGTTATTGAACTAAAATTAAACTATACATTGAATAATCATTAATGCAAACAATCAAGTATTAGTACGGATGTCACAGGTCCGGAATTATATAATTTCAAATTGCATCCCAAAATATTGAGACATAAAATATGGAATCCTAGTCTCATCCCAATAGGTATGTAGTCTCGTTTCATTCTATTCTATTTTTTGGCATGGGACGGAATGAAATGGATCGGTTTGGAATCAATCAGATTTTCCTTTGTCTTACTAAATTATTTTTTATCAAAAAAATATAAAATTACTATCATTAATTATAACCAATCAAAATTCATTTGTAGAAATTTGAGTTAAAAATAAATAAATCAAATCAATCACTGATGATCTACTATTAAAGTTATAATAGAAGATTTTTAAATAGTTATTTTCTAGTTAATAAGCGCATTAAATATAATAAAATAAAATAATTCAAAAACTATGTATAATTTAACTTTATATATATTTTATAAATTTTAACTCATCATTGTTTTTGTTACTATTGTCTTTAATTGATTTAAAAATTTAATATCTATTAATCCTGAATAGCATTTGAAAATAAATAATGATAGCATTAAGTATAACCGATAATCCAGTAATCAGATTAATTAAAATTAATATTTTCTCTTCTTTTGATTAATCTTTTTATTTCTTATTTAACAAAAAAAATTTATTCAGAAAAGATTTATTTAACACATACCTTTAAAATAACAAAGGAAAAACTCATGTTGAAAGATATGTTTAATTAGTTCATTCTTTTTATATTTAGAAAAGTGCATATTATTTTTTTCCGCATAATTATTACCTTAACAAAAATAACTAGTATTAGAAAAATAAATAAATATAAAAAGAATGAAATGATTTTCACGAATATAATTTGAAATTTAAAAAGAAAAAGACAATTAGAATTTTAAAGAAAAAATAGAACGAAAATGCCAGATTTTTGAGACAGAACTTAAGTCAATTTTAATCAAAGAACTAGTCTTATCTCATAATTACTTTCGAGATAGAACTATTAAATTAATATTAAATTTTTTCTAGATGAAAATTTGGGATGGTTTTCGGGAATCCATGTCTAGTGCCCACCCCTCACATATGAAAAGTGAAAAACTAAATTGAATTGATTAGGAAAATATGCATCCTTTAATAAATTCTTTGATATGTGTTTTGCTCTGGCATGATGGATGAGTTTAGTAGCATTGAAGACTTGGATATAAATGTTGATTTCAACAAAGTAAATTTTCGATTCTTCTTCTATTCAATATTTACATTTGCGGACTGACTCGTTATTACGGTCGGTTGCTTCAAGCAATTCTTCCTTCCTCTATTTGATACTTCTCCTGGCTACGCAATTGATTTTTTCCCTCTTCAATAATTGGGACTATAGTGCCTTCACAAGTTTGAAATTTTCAAGCCGATTTGAAGCTTTCTCTCTCATTTAAGCTTCAAAATCGACTCACTTGCAGAGATCACCACTATTATTTTATAGCAAAAAATCACTTCTTGCTTTCTACCGATTTTGCTTACGGTATTCTGCTATAATGATAACTTGCATTTACAAATTTATCCTTCTATAATTGACTACCTATGGCTTTATAAGTTTTATATCAATATTGGAAACTCATGTAAGTGTGAGAACTACTCCTACTGTAGAAAATTTTAAAATATTTGAATGTGAAAGCGAGTCGAATGCTTTATTTTATGTTTAATACGTCGAATATTAAAAATTTTAAAATAAGAAATTTGTAAATTTGTAATAAAATTTTAATACTTCATTCTTTATCCTATGTTTAATATGTAGAATATTAAAAATTTTAAAATAAGATATTTATAAATTTGTAATGAAATTTGGATACTTCATGAAATTTATTAAATGCTAATAAACATTATGTTTTGGAAGCTAAGAAAAACAGAGTAACATATAAATAAAAATTGGAAATGCAGAATATCGACCTAAGTATCTCTTGCATGCTAAGTGAGTGCCTCTACCATTTAAGCTACATACCCATAAATCTAAAATTGTACATTAATTGTATTTATAACATAGAAGTGCTATACGCAATTCTTTGCAAGAAAAAAACGGAGCCGTAAAAGTAAGTTTGAACAGAGACATTTGTAAATTATAAAATAAATATATTATATGTTTTAGTTGCTTTTAAACATAAAGAAAATCCCGATCAGTAGAAGGTGGCTTGCAACGAGAGAGAAAATGCTTAGAAGATTGTTGATAAACCAAGCTTCCACTTGCCGTTTTTTCCTATCAAACAAAGCAGCAACTTCTCCTTCTCCTTCATTTCCTTTGCTTTGCAATTCTTCTACTTTCTCCTATTTTTCATCTTCATCTTCGCAATCAGAAGTCCCTAACAGTACTTTCGCCGAACACTTGGAGAACCACAATGCCCAACCCACCAGCACCATCTCCATTGACCGCTCCGGCCTTTATAATCCTCCTGGTGCCACTTCACTGTTCCCTGTATGTATGTTAATGGTTTTGTCTTTACTAAATAAAACAATTTTTTAATGAATTGCAGAGCATTCTCACGAACCCACTTCGGAGTCGGAGCTTATCAAGCACCTTAAAGGCATTATCAAGGTTTTACATTTGTTTAGTTGTGCTTAAATTTTGTTGTGTTTCCTTTTGTTTTTTGGGTTTTTATGTTATTTATCGATGTAGCTAAACTATTTGCTAATGTATCTGTATGTTTGCTTATGATTGATGTCGGATTTAATGTAAAAGAGGAGAGAAAGAATGCAACTGAGGTGGTCTTTCATAGAAATAAAACATCAGAATGCCTTACTAAACCTTTTTTTACCTGTGGGAAATTTTCCAATCTCTTAGAAGTTATCCAAAAAATTGGAACAGTTGAGAAGTTCTTTTAGTACTTGGAAAAATTGAAGCTGCTAAACAGGTTCCTCTCATCCTGTCCTTTTTCTAAGGCCTTATTTGTTTCGTATAAAGGAATTCTGCAAAATTCTATGGTATTCATTTGAAAATTTCATGTCTTTATGTTTTGTTTGAATGAGATCATTTCACTGTTAGGAATCAATTTGTTTTACAGAATTTACATAAGTAAGCCAAATTATACATTCATAAATGAATTCTTCAAGTTCATTTCTATAAAGCAAGTTTAAACTATTTAAGCAGTTTTCACAAAAAAATCTTTTTTTTTTTTTTTTTTTTTTTTTTTTTTTTTGGTAATTTTGAAAGTTTGGTGTTTAATGGGGAGTCCAATTATTCTACACTGAGATCAGAAAGTTGAGGAAATATGTTATTGAACTAAAGTTGCCATGTTTTTTTTTTTTTTTTTTTTTTGGTAATTTTGAAAGTTTGTGTTTAATGGGGAGTCCAATTATCTACACTTGAATCAGAAAGTGAGGAATATGTTATTGACTAAAGTTTCCATGAAAGGAGTTTTTTAATTTGTTGCAAGTTCAACACTTGGTCTTTATTTTTACATAGAGAATGGAGATGAGAAATGGAATCTATTTTCTTGAAGCAGATGCATCTTATGTTTCTGTTCTTTTTTCTACTCTTTTTTCAACATAATTAAGGTAGAGTCTTATCTGTGAAAGAAAGTTCAACAACAATACAGAAATTCCACAAAGTGCATCCAAACATAAAGAGATTTGAGAAGAAAGGCAATCTAAGCAAGGATACTTTAAGGCCATGTTTGGTATAGTATAATCAACCATGTAATGAAATGAGAATTCCATTACATGATTGATTACATTGTTTGGTTAGACTTTTTTTGTTTTTTAACAATGTAATGTAATTGAGATTACATATATAATTTTCATTACTTAAATTGATGCAATATTCATCACATAAAAAAACACTTGTATTGTCTATTACATTAAGCACATGTAATACCAATTACATCAAGTTACCTCAATTAAAACCGGTTGACCACCACTACCACCATCGTTCGACCCCCACTCCACCATCCCCACCACCACCACCATAACTACACCACCACTACTATTCCTCCACAACCACCAACACGACCACTCCAACGCCGCCGCCGTCGCTGCACCACCGCACCACCACATGCTCTATCACCATTACCTCAACCACCACCACTCACCGCCACCATCACTGCACTACCACTCCACCACTGCTCTATCACTACTACCTTTTCCACCACCACCACCACTGCCACTATCACTCCACTACCACAATCACCACCATCAACGTCACCTGCTCTATCACCACCACCTCAACCACCACTATCTATCACCGCCACCTCAACCAATCTACTACGATCACCACAACTACCACTCCACCATCACACAATAAAAATAATATTTTAGTGTTTAACATGCAACATTCAATAAAAATTATATTTTATTCTTTTATTTTATTATAGGAATGGAAAGAATAGAATGAAAAAACATTAAAAATATCAAAATGCCATTAATTTTTTATTGTAATTTAATTGATTCAATGAAAATATATAAAAAATTAATTTCTAATGACTTTAACTTTGATTTTGTTATATTATATTTTTTTCGGGTTACCTTCTTTCAATTTTTTAGTTCAAATGAATTTGTAAATTTAAATGGTCTTTAATAGCTTAATATAGCTAATAGCTTTTGATTTAAATATTTCTTTTGTATTAATAATGATGTGGTGGTAGTGGAGTCGTGTTTGAGGTAGTAGTGGTGGTGGTGGTGGTAGAGTTGTATACGTTGTGGTGGTGGTGGAGGTCGAGTGATAGTGGTGGTTGGGTGGTGGTGGTGGTTTGATTGGTGGATTATGCTAATTACATTATATATTTTCAAACAAACATAAAAAAGGAATGGTGATTGCATTTCATAAATTTTTTCAATTACATTACCAAACATTGTAATGGAATCTTGATTACATTCCATTCCATTACATTTTTCATTGCATTTCATATTTGATTACATTACATTGCATTAAATCAAACCAAACGTAGCTTAGTGCAAATCACTTTAGTTTGTGGAAATGAAGTGTAAATATTGAGTGCCATTTGTCTTAAAAATGTAATATGCTGGGGGTAGGCTTTTTGGGATAACTTGGTGGAACAAAATACAGTTATCCAATCTGAAAACACTTTTTAGGATTCCATTTATATTAATATATGGACAAGGTGCCATACTATAATAAAATGAAAACTAATGACATTTCTTTTTTGCTGTCTAAAATCCAACAAATATATTCTTAGTTTCATTGATTAATTGCTATGTTAACTACTTCAATGCTATCAAAAAGTTTGAATCCTGAAATTCATAGTGTCACAATAATAAGCTATCTGAAGTCTGTATTAAAAAATTGTTTTACTTCTCTGCCCTTAGTTGTTGGCATGCCAGAATTTTGATTTAAGTATTCCAGATCACTGTTGATCTACTTTCAAATTTTTGTGATCCGCATTGCAAATTGATAGTTTTGTGGTGATTTGTAGTGACACTCCAGATATTTATATGATAAGAGGGAAGTATAGCACCTTGAAACTTAAAATATTTCTTTCAACTCAATTACGAAGCTTATGGAAGAATTGCTGGTAAATTTGTAATGTAATCACCAAGCAATGAGTAGGCTAGTTTTGTGGTTCGATACTTCATTCTTACGATGATATAAACATCCCATTGTGATCTGCAAAAAAGATAGTTGTGAGCTGATTGCACCATATTTTACTGTATGCAAAACTTTTTCTTGTACTTCGACTTAATTCTATATTATTTATGTGTTTTCAGTTCCGAGGTGGCCCAATTACAGTGGCAGAGTATATGGAAGAAGTTCTGACAAACCCCAAAGCTGGGTTCTACATTAATCGAGACGTGTTTGGAGCAGATGGTGATTTTATAACATCTCCTGAAGTTAGCCAGATGTTCGGGGAGGTAATTTCAGTGCTGTTTTACGTTGAAGTATATGTGTCTTTTTTCGAGGTTACTAGGTTAATGAACTTGAAGTGTAATTGCACAAAAGGGCATTCACTATTTTAGATTTCTAAATCTAATGATTTTTGAATCTATTCTCATCTTGTTGGTGATTGACATGTATCTGTTTGGTGTAATCTTAGATGATTGGCGTATGGGCTATGTGTTTATGGGAGCAAATGGGACAACCAAAAAATGTAAACCTTGTTGAGCTTGGTCCAGGACGAGGAACTCTCATGGCCGATCTTCTGCGTGTATGATGTCACAACCCTAATTATGCGAATTTTTCAGGTTTCCTATCATATGCTAAAGAGATATTAAATAGTAACCCAACTCTGCACTCCTTTTTTGGCTTTTCACCTTGATTTCGTGTAGGAATACTTTTTGTGCTTTTTGCTGAGTAAGTACAATTTTACATGTAGGGTGCATCAAAATTTAAGACCTTCACTGAATCATTGCACATACACATGGTAGAATGCAGCCCTGTGTTGCAGAAGCTTCAACATCATAACTTAAAATGTGTGGATGAAAATAATACGGGTGACAGTGTTGATGAAAGGACTATTAGCTCGTTGGCAGGAACACCTATATCATGGCATACTTCACTGGAGCAGGTTCCTTCAGGAGGTATGGAGTATCTTGTCAATTATACCACTGAAAAATTTGCATACAGCATTATGATCTGAGTAGGAGTTCTAGATGTCAATGTTAATTGATATTGTTCGGAGGATACTGTTTATTTTGTTTTACTCCTTCCATAATGAGAAAGTTGCAGCTTATTTGTTCTTCTCCTGGTCACATTTGTTTTTGTTGCTGATTTTTCAGTGCCTGCAATCATCATTGCCCATGAGTTTTATGATGCTCTACCAGTTCACCAGTTTCAGGTTTGTCTAATTGATTTCAGTTTTATGTGTCTGGCTTATGACACACACACACATGCAAACACCACCACGATAAGTAAATGAATAAATAAAAGTTCCCGCATGAACCATTCCTTCAATCGATGTGAAATTTCGGATATTTATCATATTGCTCAGTAGGTTTTTGATTTTGGCTCTGTATTGTATTACATTCATTGTTTACAGTTGTCTTGCTTTCTTTTGCATCTTATTTTTCTTCCTATGCTTGTTTAATTATATTGGAAGCTATTATGTCTTATGAAGAATCTAAAATGTAATACCGCTTTAATTGGCATCTTCATAGTCATACTTAAAAGTTCTCTCTTTACCTTTATGTATCTTGCCTCTTGCTTTTGTGAAATGCTTGAGTTCTTCTATTCCATTATCTTGTATCATTCTAATTTGACAACTCTGCAGAGGGCTTCTCGTGGCTGGTGTGAGAAAATGGTTGATGTTGCTGAGAATTCAAAGTAAGAATTTGTTTGTTAATTAGTCTTTATCCAGATTTAAACTTCAGGGAATCATAATTGATATATCTTGTGTACATTGGTATTAGGTTTCATTTTGTTCTATCTCCACAGCCAACACCTGCAACTCTCTATTTAATGAAGCGCTGTAAATGGGCAGCAACTGAAGAAATAGAGAAGCTTAATCACATTGAGGTTTGTCCAAAAGCAATGGATCTGACTCATACGATTGCCAAAAGAATAAGCTCTGATGGAGGAGGTGCTCTTATAATTGATTATGGTCTAAATGGAATAATCTCTGATAGTTTGCAGGTGCGGCGATTCTTGTTGTTTTCTTATAGCCAGTGGTTCTGTTTTTTTCTCCTCCAAATGCAGAATTTAGTTGTACCAGTCAATGTTTATCCATTTAAACCATACACTGTATATTCTTTGGCATTACTGGCTTCTTGTATGATTTGGATTCAAAATTTGCAAATTGAATTGTGTTAACCTTCTTTCGCTGTACACTTGCATGCTTTTCTCGTTTCACATTATGCAGGCAATTAGGAAACACAAGTTTGTCGACATACTAGACAATCCTGGTTCTGCTGATCTCAGTGCATATGTTGATTTTGCTTCTGTCAAGCACTCTGCTGAGGAAGCTTCAGGTGTGTGTCCACATCCCTCTAGTTCTATTTCTGTACATATTTGTTCTTATTTTTATGACACAAGAATTCATTTGCAAATGATTTTTTTTTTTTTTTGGTGAATTTCATTTGCAAATCAATGAAGTTTATATTATTTGTTTGAAACACTAAGCAAAAGTAATCCATAGCAGTTCATGGTGTTTTCAGAAGTATTATATTGTTTTTTATTTATTTATCTGAGACGCTAAACAAAACTGATTCATGGCATTACATGGTGTTTTCAGAGGATGTTTCAGTCCACGGCCCAATTACTCAGTCCCAATTTCTCGGTTCCCTTGGCATAAATTTCCGTGTGGAAGCATTGCTGCAGAACTGCACAGATGAACAAGCTGAATCCCTAAGGACAGGATACTGGCGTATGGTGGGCGAAGGCGAAGCCCCCTTCTGGGAGGGACCAGAAGAACAGGCGCCTATAGGAATGGGTACCAGGTATTTGGCAATGGCTATTGTGAACAAAAGGCAAGGCGTTCCTGTTCCATTTCAATGAAGTTTTTTAGAGGCCTCGCGTTTTGTAAGATTCTTTGTTAAGCACCTGTACATTAATATCTAGCATCCAATAAATTTTTACACTGTCTGGGAAAAAGTACATGAAACGAAAGAAAATAAAGAGGGAAAATACGAGGATTTCTTCATTTATTTTCAGCATTCATTATTATTTAAGTGCATTATATTGCTATCTATCTATATCTATCATTTTCTTTTTTCAATAATTAATAATCATCTAATAAATTTATTAAAGCTCATTGTTTCTTTTTTGAAATAATTAATAATTCAAACAACAAAATTATTGCATTAATAATTAAATTCTTTAATTTTATCCATTTTAAAGCATTATATTATTCTTTTATTTAATTATTTATATTTGTTTGCAATTATATTTGTAGGTTCTCTCATTTATCATTATTTGCATAACTTATCCTTTGATGTGTCAATTTTTGATATTCTCTTTGCTACCATTATGTTTCTTTATATTTATAGCCTATTAATAAATTTTTTTCCTAAATAATTATGTTTGCTTATTCTTTTATTTGTAGTTACATTTATACTTTTATTTATAGTTACTTGCATATAGTGACGGAGCCATGATTTCATTTTATGAGGCTAAAATAACACGGGAAAGAGTTAAGAACGCAAATTGTTTCTAATCGATATTTTATCATTAATGAAATATGAATAATATGTTTTATCATTAAAAGCAATTCTTTGTGAGAAGAGTAAAAAGAGTGATTTTAATGTTACATATACTATGTATTCTATAATATATATTTTAATAAATCAATTAGATTTTGGCTTTATTGTAGAATTACATGTAATCTATTAAAAAAGAAAAATTATAAAAATTAATGGTGTGTTGAATGATTATTTAATCTGTCATAAAGAATAAAGATAAACTATCAAAATAAAAATACTATATAAATAAAGATAAAAAAAAAAAAAAAAAAGTGTGTTGAATGATTATTTAATCTTGTTCATAAAGGAAATTAAAGATAACTATTTCAAAATAAATACTATATATTAAAGATAAAAAAAAAAAAAAAAAAAGTTAAGAGAAGAAAAAAAAAAAAAAAAAAAAAGTTAAGAAGAAGCTGTAAGCAAGAAGCCAGAACAACTCAGCCATTTATCAATGCACTTCTACCACTAAGCCAGGGGATAAGATACTTAACCTTTAGCACTAATGTTTTATTTAAATTAATCATTTACAACTCATAATCAACTAATTGTAAATGATCAAAATCATAACTTTTGCATTAAAACTAGTTTATTTAGGGGTTGTTTGTTGCCATTTTCCGTTTTTTATTGTTTATTTTTGAAAAACAAAAAAGTGATTTTTATTTTTTGAAAACTGTTTTTTTCTGAGTTTTTTTTAAATGTATGTTGATAACACATATATAAGAGATAGAAAAGAATATACGAGAATAAAATCATATTTTATTTGAATAGAAGAAATCATGTTCAAAAGAAAATGAATTATTCTACTACATAAAAAAAAAAATTAATTATTTTAATTTTTGCCACAAATATTGAGCTATTTGCCATAAATAATGCTAGCTGATGTAATGAATAATAATAAAAAAAAATTATAAAGTAAATTAAAATGCTTTACAGATTCAGATGCCCTTTTATAGATGGACCTTCTGGATACTTTCGAAAATACCCGCATGAGTTGTACTTGTGATGAACTATTTATTAACAATTACAAAAGTTTGAGGAAACATTTTAGATATGATAACAGGGATAGATGTGAGTCAATTATAGAGTTTTAAATTATCCTAACTGATACAAATAAGATGTAAGAGGGAGAAGAAAGAAAGTGTATCTAAAGTTTAGTAAGAGAGAGAGAAGAAGGAAACGTATTAATGAAAAAAATAAAAATGCGTAAACCCACTATTTGTGATTTCATATAACAACGTATTAGTGTTTTTTAAATGATTTTGAAAAAAAGTTAGAAAATAAATTTAAACAATTTTAAAACAAACATGTTTTATTTTTTTAATCAAAATTAAATGGAAAATTTGAAACTGTGACGACGCCAAACCCTATCTTAATATTCAGGCTATATTCACACAATTAAGTTACATATTGAAATGTTCTAATAAATTGTAAAATATTTTAATAACTTTACATTGTTATTTTTCATATATACATTGATAGCTTATATAACCTTTGGAAATTTGCGAGATATTGGAGCAAAATTAAGCATTATAATTAATAAGCAAAAGTTGAATTTTCAGAATTGGGATTTGAACCCACTATACAAAATTAAAAAAAAAATAGACAAAATTAAAAAAAATAGGCAATAAGCAAAAGTTGAATTTTCAGAATTGGGATTTGAACCCACTATACAAAATTAAAAAAAAAATAGACAAAATTAAAAAAAATAGGCAATAAGCAAAAGTTGAATTTTCAGAATTGGGATTTGAACCCATTATACAAAATTAAAAAAAAAAAAAAGACAATAAGCAAAAAATTGAATTGTCAGAAGTGGGATTTGAACCCACGCCTTCTCACGAAGACCAGAACTTGAGTCTGGCGCCTTAGACCACTCGGCCATCCTGACCTGTAAAAAACTTTGCCTCTAATATATTTCTGACCTAATTGAGGCCTCCTTATAAAATCTAAGAGGTTTTCCGTGAATTTTTTTTCTCCACTTTTATACCGAATATCGACTGATCTTGTTAAAACTTTTCTTTCGATATTTTAATTAAAAAAAAGTTAACAGACAATATACATGTTAATTTTGTATTGTAATAAATTTAAAAATAATTAATTGAACAATAATGACCAATAAAGAGTATTATATTTTAAATTAATTAATTTAAAAATAATAATTAATAAAATTTAGCAAAGTGTTTTCATAGTTATCATATCTCTTAAAAACATTTAAAGTAAGTTTGAGTATTAGAGCATGGATTTGAGATGGATATGTGTATTAAATTAACTATTCATAAAAGGTTTAGTTCAGATATGTATAAAGCAAGGCTGCATATATTCGCTTTCCATCAAAACCTATTTATAATTTAAGAATATTTATATAAAATATTTCAGGTGAAAGTTTAAGTGCATATTAGGGGGTGAGCATTAAATGATTTAAACCGCGAAACCAAACCAAACCACATCAAACAGTCTGTTTTAAATGGTTTATTGTTTTAAATGGTTTGATTTGATTTATAATTTAATAAACTGCTTTTAAAACAATTTGGTTGGATTTTTATTTTATTAAACCGGTTAAAATCGAATCAAACCGCATTTATATTCTATGATGTCATTGTATTATTAATTTAATTGTTATATATTTTATCTAATTTGAAACTTTGAAATATACCTTGTGAACATGATAACTTTTTTTTGATTGCATTTTGAAATATACCTTGTGAACATGATAACTATAACTTTTTTTTGATTGCATTTTGAAATATACCTTGTGAACATGATAACTTTTTTTTGATTGCATTTTTTATGTTCTTAGTGCTATAATATTGAAAGAAATTTATTTATTTTATAAATAAGTTTTTATTAGTAGGTTATAGTTTGATGGATCATGAATACTAGTTACATATAAATTTATTGTTTTTGTAAATTTTAATTGTAAAAATTGATATTTTATATGTTATACTTTATGTTATCAAACTACCGACCGATCACTTTTTTGCTAGTTATATTTTTTTCTTATATTATGCATTATATGTCATATACGAATTCATTATATTGGTTAATTATAATTAAAATAATTATTAAAAATTATTTTAATGGTATCAAAATGCAAACCATACCCACCTTTGTTTAATTTGATTTCATTGATTAAATAATTGATTAAATAGTTTGGTTTGGATTGAAAAATCTATAAACCGTAATTTAGGGTTTGGTTTGAAAATTTTTCAGACTGCACCAAACAACACTGTGCTCACCACTAGTGCATATTAATTTAGTGATGAAAGCAGCGCTTTTGGCATGTGTCTTACTCGTCTCAATCCATTTATTTATAGAATTTGATATTTACGAATTTTAAAATTTATCTTAATTTTTATAATTTGATATTTACGAATTTTAAAATTTATCTTAATTTTTATAATTTTCACTAAATTTATTTCTAAGTGGTCCTTCGTGCTTCGCATGACGATATAATGCTCACTACAAAAAAAACGCTATTTTGCGACCGATATTTGTGACCGACAAATATCGGTCGCCAATTTGCGACAGATTTACTACACAAGAACAAACGGGCGCAAAGTTTAGCGCTAAAAATTCCCGTGATCTTGTTTCGCAGTTTGTGACTACTATGCGACGGATTTGTGACCGAATTTGCGACCGATTTGCGACTAAGGGCTATTCCGTCGCAAATTTGCGCGGTTCAAAATTAGGAACAACGTTTGCGACCGATCGGCGACAGATTTGAGACCGAAATATTGCGATCGATTTATTTAGTTGCAAATCGGTAGCAAATATACTACGAAGTAAAACGTCGTCGCAGGGTTAAAAATTGCGACCGAATGATTTAGTCGCAAATCGGTCGCAAATATACTGCGAAGTAAAACGTCGTCGCAGGGTTAAAAATTGCGACCGATTTGCGACAGATTGGTCGGTTGCAATTTTTAGGGCTTTAAACGGTAGATGCCCTTCTTCTTCTTTCTTCTTCTTTCTTTCTTCTCCTCCTCCTCTCCTCTCCTCTATTCGCAGGCCGCTCCAGCCCGCCTGACGCCGCTCTAGCCCCTCCGGTCACTCCACCCGTCTTCTTGGAATAAGTTGAGGTATTTTAATTTGCGATTTGTGTTTTTTTTTTTTCGTTTTTTTTTTTATTTTTTTATTTGCGATTTATGTGTATTTGGGTGTGATTAATTGGCTTGTTCTAGTACTGTTATGGTGCGAGCGCTATACTGATGATATACGGGCTCAGCTTGCTGATCAGCAGAGACAGATTGCAGAGCTTAGAGCGCATGTGATGCGGCTGTCTGGTGAGCCCGGTGCTGGTACTTCATGTGAATGCGGCTGTCCTGGTGAGCCTTTCGGTGGCTGTACTTCTTATTCTTCCTCCGCTCTTGCGCCTGCTACAAGTCAGACCGACATGTTTTCGACGTCTCAGCAGCAGCCACTACCGGCTCCCCATCCCCAATGCTGCAGACGATACGTTGGTCCACCTCCCTGGCGCT